ATTGTGAGTATACAAATTCCATCATGCCAAGGAGAAAAGCTAATTAACAAGAGGCAAAGGACTTATAAAAGAGCTCTCTTCAAACAGAGAAATTAATTACAATGAATAATTGTCTCTATAATTAGTGCCTTATCCCAACTCATGATTTAATGCAATAGTTTAGAAACTACTAGGACTAGTTAGTACTTCAACAGTACAAATTATAGGATTAAATAGACACTATAAATCTAAAAGAATAGTTATAATAAAATCTTCATGCAGTATTATGCTGATGTTCATTAAAGGTATATAGTAACTTCCTATAATACAATATTTAAAATTAACTTTAGACTGTTCTTTTTGTTAACATTTTAATACTTTTTATACAAGTTGATCATAGTATTAAAGCAAAACATTCTCTTTTTTTTTTCAGGCCTGTTCAGCCTATGTTGGTTTCATGATTTCTGTAGCAAAGTTAATTCGCCAAGAAAGAAAGCTCCCCATCAATGACACTGAAATTTCTGCAGAAGCAGAGAGGATAATGGCTCTTGAGCAAGAAATTGCAAATGTAAGTTAAATCTCCTATTTTATATACAGAATGTTTTGTAAGAAAAAATGGCTTCTATCTCTTTCCCTCACTCCCAAAATTATACTGTTAAATCAGGGATTTTAGGGAGAAAGTACGGCTAAATTTATACATGGGAAAGGTATTTCTATTTCCTTCTGTTTGGGGGATGGGATACTCCAGGGAATACAAAAATATTCTGTTTTCACCCTAAACCTGACTGTTCCCATGAAAAGATTTCCAGAACAGAAAGTGGTTCATAGTATTTCAGATATGGATAGTATTTCATATATGGTCCGAAATACTATGGACATAAGGTGGCTGGATTAGAATGGTCAGAATGGAAAATGTTCCAGGGTTCACAGATTATAAAATCATTATATCTAGTTCTATTTCTACTTCTGTTTTGACATTATTGCATCGTACGATAATCCTTCAATACTTATTAGTAGTATATATTAATACCACTATAAGAGTAATAATAAAAATGCATTACATAGCTAATGTACTCAAGGTAGAGTGGCCCCAGTAAGGAGAAAAGACTGAATATTTTTATATTTATGACTCTAGAAATACACAAAATGCTGAGTACTTAAAAAAATCTATGTATTGTATTGCCACATTCTCTCACTGGTAACATTTTGGATTTAGACTTTGTCATATTTTGAGTAAACATATTGAAAACAATGGGATTTAGGTTAGACATAACAAGTCATGTTGATCTCAGTAAGTTTATTCCAAGAATTACTGAAAGAGTGATCTGAACCTATAAATCAGGTCTATATGATATATCAAAATGACAGTCTATTTATTAGCATCTCCACGCAATTCTTGTTCTTATGCTAAGAGGAACCTTTTGTCCTGCCTAGGATCTATTCTGTTACATTCTTTTGAATCTCAGTGTTCTGAGATTGAGGCTTTTATGTTCTTGGAAAGTTGCATGATGTAGAACTGGCATGAGTTGAGATAGGGGTATTCAAGGTCAAATTCATCCCAGGGCATAGCATAATCCCCAGCTTCAGCAAGAGGAGAGAGAAGGCTTCTGTGTTTCCTAGGATCCTGTCCCATGGACCATAAGATCACACTTTCTTTTACCTTTTATATACTAACAAGATAGTCATTTATACCTTAATCTCTTTGATCTGAAGATTGCTTTGCCTTTTGTATTAAGGTTTATTTATTTATTTATTTATTTTTGCTTTCCAGTTTTTGTTGTCCTTTCTTCAAAGCCACTCCTTTTTATAGTATAAATTTGTTTTTCTAGGTCACAACCAAAGATGAAGACAGAAATGACCCACTTTTGCTATACCACAAAATGAAGCTGAGTGATCTCCAAAAAAACTTCTCCATGGAAATCAATAATAAGGTAAAATATTGCTAATATGTTGCTCCCAGCTTCTGCCATTGACTAGGAATAGAACCCACTTTTTTTTTAAAAAAAATAAAGTTTAAGATGAAGCTTTTGAACTCAAAATGCTAAGCTAAATATACCAGCCTGGTGTGTGTATATCTAACTGATTGCAGGAGAAAGAAAGCAAATGTAGATTTGGGCAGTGAAATTAAGCTATAGTTCATTGTTACAAATCAACTCTTAACAGCAGGACAAAGTTTAGTGATATAAATTGTTTCATTGGCTCAAAGAATTGAGATGTAATCTTATCTACATTTTATGGCAGATATGACGCTTACATGATATTCAATAAGGACAAATTTGTTCATGTGACAGAAGGATAGGAACAGAACCTATGTCCCAAGGCTAAATTCTTTGGCACTAAGTTTTAATAAGCTGACATGTCAATCTTCTGATTAAAGAATATCTTTTGTTGACTTGTTCTTTAAACTCATTAATGAACTGATTTGTATTATCAGTAATTTCTCAGCACGTGTAATTTTGTAACATATTGCAAAAAGTATGAAATAAATAAAACCTCTTTACTTTTTTATGTAAACATGGGAGCAGTATGCAGCTGAAAAAGGCTGTTATCTGCTTGATGGCCTCCTAGAATAATTTGTCTAGATACCATTAATAATGGATTTAAATTGTCACTTAATATTATCTGATTTTATTTTTGTGCTTCTGTTTGTTTGTTTTTTTACTTTAACCTGCTAGAATCCGACAAATATCATTTCAAAGTCAATAACCTTTCACTGAATTGTGAAATTATGAAGTCAATTCATAACTTTACAATTCAACTAAAACTCACTCAGAAGGGCATTAGGTGAACTTTAGTGTTTTCTGTATCTCTTGGAAGTTCTCGTGTAGTTTTCTGGATATTTGCAGACTAGACAAGGTTGCCCAAATCAGGTTAATCCAAATGTACAAATGAGCACAGAATGCATTTCCTGCATTGCTGCCAGCAAGATGGGATGGGATTCTGGAAACTAGATTTTGAAGCATGCATCATACAAGAAACATCTTACAAAAGATGGAGAACCCCACCAAATATCATTTTCTTAAGCCACAATTTAATTTTCAAATATCATATGCTGATGTCAGTCTTCAAAATCCAAGTCAATAAACTATTAAACTATAGATACTTAGTATTACCTCTAATCAGGGTGACAATTCCTTTCATTTTGTTCCTAAACACATTTGGCATAATCCTTAAACATATCTAAGACCTCTTCAAACCACAGCTGTCTCTCTGATTATAAGAATTACCATCATGTAAATGCTTTTAGAACTACAGTCCTTTGATTGTTTTACAGCTCATTAATTTTAAATTAAAGCTATTCAATTTAATTTATTGCCTATTGGCCAAGAGTTTATGAGCACAACTAAACTGCTTAACAATGGCTTATTGTTATTATCAAAGATTTTGTTTTTTTTTTTTCCACTTATGAGAAATTTGTTTACAGAAGCAGTCTGGCTGCAAAAAATCAAATGACAAAAGATGAAGCAGTCCATGCAAATTATTTTGATAAGCCAGTTGTTAAGTAATATGTTGGTAAAATTCACTGAAATATACATATATTCTTGAAATGCTAAGTTTCAACCAGACAACCCATGCTCATTGTCTCAGACATATTTCCTTACCTAGACCAATATACAGAATTACCACAGGAGGGCAAAAAAGCAATGGGAGCAGGAATGAATTCAAATTTCTTGCCTTCCCCCTTCACTTGGTGTCAGCCCTCCCAGGTAAATCAGACAGGAAGCACGACACAGTGAACTAATTCTACTGTATTTTAAGGCTACATTAACAGAGCATCGCAAGTCCAAAAGTGCAAACTTCCTGACATCACTTTTGAACTATTTGATCCATTGGAACAGGTTTTTCCTAGTTTCTTTCTCTGACCACTAAGCCACTGGGAGTTCCTGCCTCTATTCTGATTGTTTCCCAGGTAACATCTCTTCCCCGCCATTCCCCAAGGAACATTCCATTATACTTTGCAATGGGAAGGTGGCAGGGAGTTTCAGAAATCATATTACTGCGGGTGATTACAGTGGGATAGCATTGTTGCAGGTTGGATATAAGTTTGCCATTATAATTGGTCTGAAGATCCTTGAAATTTCAGGCCAATGGGAATAATGGGTTCTGGATTTTTGATTCATTCCTTAAGTTAGCCCATTTGAGGTCCCTTGATTCAAAAAATGTTGCCTTGTGATGCACCATTTCATCCAACTGAAGGTTACACAGAGACAATCAGATAAGAGAGTCCTAGTAATATATAGATAGCTTGTACCAGTTGGGTATCGGTCCATCCAGCCATTAAGTATGGAGGAGTCCTTGGTGCTGTCTGAGCTTGCTTGTTTCTTTGCAGATATTTCATTACCCAAAGTAGGTAACATCATTAGTGCTAGTGATGTTACTTAGTTACCCAAATTAGGTAACATCATCATCTAGGTAATTTTATGTTTTTCTTCTACCACATATTATGTAATTTACATATGCTTATTTTCGAGCAGTGCATAAAGCATCCCCAACCGCTGAGCAAACTTTAAGGCACTATTTAAATTTTGAAATAAGAAGTACTAAAATTCAAATGTACTGTATCTGGAAGTAGGAGTCACTCAGTGTATGAAATCTAGATATAGTAGCTTGTAGCTGAGAAAAAGACATGTGTCACATTGTCATATGCTTAGGGAGTATGGGAAGGTATTCGGTAAAGTTCTATACTTCCTAAAACCAATAGTTAAGTCCTTAAAACATTTTGGAATGGGATCCCAGTAAAATAGTTTTGAAATGAGTCTGGGGTGCCTCCTCCCCCTCAGATATGTTGTTTCTGAATGCTGTTAACATCTGTGCATGGTTTTCTTTTATTACCTTATTATATTGTAAATGTAATATAAAGAACGGGTATAACACAGCTTAAAAAAGACCAATAATCTTCATAAAGCATATAATGTATTTGGCAAAATCAATGATAAAGACTTAATGCTAAGAGTAAAATTGTCTTTTGTTTTATCCTACCTAACATTTCTTTCTCCCCACAGACATTTGACTGGATAAAATTCGTAAATAATATAATGACAACAGTGGCAATTGAAGTTAAAAATACAGAAGATATAATTGTGTATGCTCCAGAATATTTAATCAAGCTGAAGTCTGTCATTTCCAATTACAGTCCCAGGTATGCATGCCAATGCATTTTAAGTTTTTATTTTTTGAACTCACCAATACATTTCATAGTTCTACAAATAGCAACAAATGGTGCTTCTTGTTGCTTTATTATGCAGAGAAATTCAAAACTACATAAGTTGGAGATACATCATGGATATGGTGAGCAGCTTAAGTAGTGACTACAAGGACACAAGAAATAATTTCCGTAAGGTACAGAAATCTATAAATACATTTTTGTACTTAACCTTTGAATGTATATTTCTGATATTTAAACAGTAATTTGAAAATATTGATTGGTAGCTCAAGATTGGCGCACCCTTTTCATGTTTGAACAATTGTAATGTTGGTCTCACGAACAAACAGTTCTTTGAATTCCATCAAAGATGAAAAATAAGCAATTATGAATTTATTTGATCCTTTTTTTCAAAATGATCAAGAGACATATACTTGGAATGAGGACCTCTGGCTCTCCAAATGTTGTTGAACTCTGTCTCCCAACATTCTTCTCCCTTTTCAACATTATGAGGAAGTCCTAGAGTTGCAGATCTATAACCATGGCCCATTCATAAGTTTGTAAATGCTTTGGTCTAAATTGAATAGGATGGATAGATTTCAGAATGTGTAGGAATATATAAGACAGACAAAATGATCTTTAGAATTCCCTCCAGCTCAAATATTCTGTGATTCGTTGAAGTGCTGGATCCAATCCAACCAAAATGAAGTACTTATTTTAAGTAGAATATAAGCTTGGGTTTTTTTGCAGACAAAAAGAGCTTAACTTTGGTGGAATGTAGTCTCCACTCTGACTCATGACATAATTGTAATTATATTTGGAGGAAAATTAAGTTTACAAGCTAAAAGATGGTCCTGTTTTGTTAAATATTCTGCAGTATATCACATAATTACAACAAAAATTAAAATGAAGTAAAATAGAACATGCATTGCCATCTTCAAGAAAATTAGTGTAGGAGCTAACTGTTCTTTTGAACTTTGCTGATAACATTTCTCTGAAGTTCTTTCATCTTTGCCATATTGTTTATATGCTTATTAAGAAACAAAATAACCTGTTCCTTTTCAAACTATTCTGTTCACAGAGAAGAATTTAATGACTACTTAAATCTGTTCACATAAGATTAAAGAAGCATGAATAAATAGACAGATGATAGGTAGATGATTGATGATAGATGATGATATAGGTAGACAGACAGACAGATCTTCCCCAAACTTACAAATTCCTTCACATTATGGTGGTATTCCACATGTAGCCGGTATTTTGCTATGATATCAGTTAAAGTATCAATACTGAAGATAGCTTCTTCAGCCAATATCCAACACACATAAAGAAAGGATATACAACCTGAGATCCAAAAGCCATATGTCACCTTTGAAAGCCTTGGATGTAGTTTCCAGACCACCTTCTACCTGTGTATTTTATTTAACTAATTTATATCATCTTAGGCCCAACTCAGGACAGTGGTCACACATTGGATATGACTGCCTAGTCAGAGCAAAGGCAATGTGATCTGGTGGGAGATCTGTCATTATCCCTGTGTCTTGGTCAAATCATACCCTTGTGACCTGTAGAGTCTCTTATGTTGTCTCAGCCTTTATGTAGGGAGGCCAGATCCACTTGAGCAGTCCATCCCAGCAAATGGGTTCCAGAGGGAGCTGGTGATTTCCAGGGTGGACTGCATTGTCCTGCCAAAGCTCTGGTTACATCCTAGAACCAAGGGCAGAAAAGAATTTGGACAGGATTGCACCCATGTAGCCTCTCTTGACCCATTGCTCTCAACCAATTGCTCCCAATATTCTCTGTGGTTCATGGAGCAGCTACGTATTCTGAAAAGGGCTAGGCAGTGGATTTAGATAGTGATAAACTTCTCAGTGCAAGAGGGAACATTTCTGAGAGCTTTCAGAGAGGCCCTGGTTTGCTTCCTCTTCAAAAAGCCCATCTCTTATCCTATCTGTCTGGACAATTTCCATCCAGTTGCCCATTTTCCTTTTTACGGAACATGGTAGAGAAGATGATTGCATGGTAGCATCAGAGGGCTCTGGATGGAATGGATTATCTGGACCCCTTTCAATCAAGATTCAGGCCAGTTATGGAACAGAAACATTAGTCATACTTGTCAATGATTTCTGGTGAGAATAGGATAAGGGTAGCGCATCCATCCTTGCTCTCCCTGATCTCTCAGTGGCCTTCAACACTATTGACCATGGTATCCTTTTGGGCCGAGTGCAGGGTTTGGGGCTAGGTGGCACAGTTGTTTGGTTTTCTTGTTTAGTTTTCTTGTTTATTCTTGTTTGGTTTTCTCCAAGATCAATCTCAATTAGTGTTGATACAGAGTGAAATGTCCAGCCCACAGCCCTTGTTTATGGTGCAGGGCTCAGTACATTCTGCATCTACATGAGGCCACTGGGTAAGATCATCCAGAGGATGAGATACGATCAGTATGCTGATGATAGTCAGGTTTACATCTCCAAGCTAGGTGACCCAAGTGATGCTGTCACTGCCCTTTTGTGCTGCCTGGGGTTCTGGATGGGGGACAACAGGCTCTGGATGAATCCTGGTAAGACTGAGTGGCACTGGGTGTGTGGAGCTCTGGGCAAGTGGCAGTTGTGGCTAGGAGAGCCTTTGCACAACTTCATGTTGTACGCCAGTTGTGCTCTTTCCTGGATCAGGAATCCCTGTGCTCAGCCATCTCAGCCCTGGTCAACTCATGGCTGAACTATTGCAACAGGCTCTACATGGGTCTGTCCTTGAAGACTATCCTGAAGTATAGTGCAGAACGCAGCTGCATGTGCAGTTCTTGGGACCTCTAGGATGGCCCACATTACATTGCTGTTCTGCAAGCTGCATTGGTTGCCAGTTTGTTTCTTGGTCCAATTCAAAGTGTTGGTTATCACCTTTAAATCCCTTCATGGCAGGGTTCCAGGTTTCCTGAGGAACCAACTCATCCCAATGGGATTAGCTCACCCACCCACACCAGCAGAAGAAGTGACTCTAGGAGGCATACAAAGATAAATACATAATTAATTGCATTAATATAAACATTAAACAATTGTATTTATTTTAACAAACATTAATTTAACAATTAAATTACATAAATCTTTACTTACTTTTTTTTTTAAAAAAAAAAATAGTAGTTCCCATCACAGGCCTCACTTCATCCTTGTCTGCATTAGATTTTCTCAGGGAATGGCTTCCAGGATATGACTCAAAGGACAGCTATGACCCATTATCTAAAAGGATTGCATACTGTATGTTCCTTACAAAAATAAAATGGGTTGAAACAGATTTGAAATGAACAATGATCAAAAGGCTAATTAAATTACAGAATTATACCAAGGTTCAAGAACATTGTGTTACTCAAGCGGAGCTCTGGTGCTTCTTTCTGTCCAGGAAGATGCAGTATTTCACTTTGATCAACGGAATCAGCTTGGAGTTTGTAGGGACTTCAGTGAAGTGTTGTCTAAAATGCAGTGATTTACCCAAGAGAAACTGTGAAAATCCTGCAAGCACCTGCCAGTATTTCAAGGGGGAAAGCTTGGCTCTAAAACACTCTCATTTTGGGAATACTGGGTGTTTTATAAATTATAAAACCATTCCAATATTTGGTCTCCAAGTGTAGGCTATTGAAATGGACAGAAACAGCATATGCTGCTGCTTATCCTGTAGTAAGGGAAAGGCATGTAAAAACAATTTTCACAATGTTTTTGTTTGAAACATCACAGTAGGTCACTATTACCCATTTGGTAAGATACAGAAAGATTTCACCACAATCATTGTTGACTTTTTGATGTGCACAAATTACAGGCCAGTTGCCCACACCTAGAAGAAAAAATAACCTATTCCTCTTTGGATGTCTATAAATGTACACAATATAGCCATCACTGTTGTGAAGGCAGGATAACCCAGAATGGCCCCATTGTAATAACATAATTTTCAAAACTCAAAACAAAATATCAGACAAAAATGCCATTGTAAAACTCTGCTGGCCAGAAAGTGATTTAACAGAGCTCCAGTATTACATTTCAGTATCACAACCTAGACTTTAAGTCCTTCTCCAAAACTAGTGCTGAGACACCATTAAAAATAAAATCCAGAAAGCAGTTTCCATTAATTTTCAGGTTGTGCCAGAATTCATCTACTGTAAAAGATTGCAAATCTCTGAAACTGTCGGGAACTCTTTCTGCAAGGGAATGCTGTAAAATTAATACTGCTCCTCTTTCTCCTGGAAGCTGGTTCTTTGCTAAATGTCTGGCCATTCGTTTCCAGAGTGTTGAGTTTATGACTAAGTCCTATTTGCTTCATATCTTCCTTCATGTCTGAGAAGGAGAAGGAAGAAGTGAAGAAGCATAATAACATCAAAAAGCAGAATAAATATTCCAGAACATGTAAAAAAAATCATATTATTAGCTAGTCTGCTGCTGCCTTGATCAGTTTTATCTTTATAGGGGTCATTTCCTTTCTTCTAAGGAGAGCTATTATTGCCTGGATGGCTGTGAGGCAGTACCAAATAAAAGATGCTTTCCTACTGGGCTCTCTTTAAGTTTTCAAGACGTTGTACTTAAAGAAAAAGAAGCACAAAGGCTCTCACCCTGCTAAGATTGATAGAGCCTGCTTGACAGTCTCCAAACTCCTGAAACAATGCAAAGCTCAATATGTTCTCACTTTACTATCCCATTTTTAAAATATCCCTTATCCACAAACACTTTTCATTAAGCACTGATTAAAAGTATTCAAGGAAGGCATGAATTGTTTCCAAACTCATGTGTTTTTGCTTGTTGCCACATGCATAAATGATTTATGTTTATGCTCTACAGGTTTTGTATGGCACAACCTCAGATGCTGCAATCTGGCGCCGTTGTGCAAACTACGTCAACAGCATTATGGGGAATGCTGTGGGGAGACTTTACGTCCAAGAAGCTTTTGCTGGAGAGAGTAAACATGTGGTAATTATCATTGATATGATACTTAAGGAGGTGTTGGATTCATATAAATGGCAGGAATATTGCAGTGGAGGTTTGGAAACCAAACCAGGCATATTAACAACTACTTGGAAAGTAATTGTTTTATAAGACCAGGCAAGAATGACAGTATTCTGGGCTCATATAGTTGATATAGGCCAGAAGAAAGGGAATTGTTATCCTTCTAACAACCAGTATAGCCTATGCCAGGCATGTCAAACTTCCGACGTCACGTAGACAGCCCACAGTTGATTATAAGATGGGCAGCTATATAAATGCTTTAAATACATAAATAAATAAAAAGTAAAGCACTTTGGGCAATGTTACATGCAGGCATGAGGCCTCCAGTGTGGACTATACCCCAGAGACAGCAAAAAATAACTTTCCATATGCAGGAGCACAGGGGTTTCTTTGATGGGTGTCGGAAAAGGAACCATCAGTTTCTACATGTTGATGGTCCATCGTATCTATGGCTTGAATTTGGGGGATCAAGCTGGTTTTGATCAGTTGAAATGGATGAAGAGTATTGAAATCTCTGAAGCATTACAGTAGCAGCAGCTTTCCAAAATGTAACTCCAGTTCAGCAGGCACATGATAAGCAATTGCTGCAGCATCTATGACTTTTGTAATAACAGTATCAGACATGTATCTTGTAACAAGAAAGAGGTGATATGTATGTTTGGGAGCAGAATAACAGAATAATAGAGTTGTAAGGGATCTTTGGAGATCTTTTAGTTTAACCCCCTGCTCAGGCAGGAAACCTTATATTATTTCAGACAAATGGTTGTCCAATCTCGTCTTAAAAACTTCCAGTGTTGGAGCATCCACAACTTCTGGAGGCAGGTTGTTCCACTGATTAATTGTTCTAACTGTCAGGAAGTTTCTCCTTAGTTCTAGGTTGCTTCTCTCCTTGATTATTTTCCATCCATTGTTTCTTGTCCTGCCTTCAGGTGCTTTGGAGAATAGCTTGACTCCCTCTTCCTTCTGTCAACCCCTTTGAATATTGGAACACTGCTATCATGTCACCATAGTCCTTTTCATTAAACAATTCCAGCACCCATTCTTCATATGTTTTAGCCTCCAATCATTTGTATAGCTCTTCACTGCACTCTTTCTAGAGTCTCAGCATCTTTTTTTACATTGTGGTGACCAAAACTGAATGCAGTAGTCCAAGTGTGGTCTTACCAAAGCATTATAAAGTGGTATTAATACTTCATGTGATCTTGATTCTATATTTCTGTTAATGCAGCCTAGTGGTCTGTCCTAGAAGCATCCAAAAGCATTTCAGTGACAAGTTTCTGCTGCCGCTGCTATCAATATTTGTTTGGCGGGCAACATGCACAGATTCAAACTTCCTGGGCATTTGTTCCCCTTCAGTCCCTTGGGAAAAGCTTTTAGGTTTTCTCCTTTCCCCTGTCTTGTTCCCAGGTTTTGCCCTAACTTTGCTCAATTTAATAAACTAATCATATTGGAGAACCTTATCTTAATCCTTTATGGTGGGAAAATCCATTCTTAGTTACTAATATTAGATTTCACAGTACATACAGAAAGCTTCCAAGTTTGGTTTTCCATACTTACGTTAGTTGGTTTTGCTTGTTTAGAGTCAAGATGGTGATGAAATTTCACTGATATACACTTTATAGCAGCTTCCCAAACCTGGTACTGGGTAGGGATTTTAGAGTTGCAATAGAAAACACCCAAAGGACACTCCACAGAGAAAAACTGAATGACACATTATCTAGTAATAACAAACTGAGAAGTTGATTGCCCAAAGAAAGAAAATATATAAAGATTTTTTTTTTTAGTCTTGTACTTAGAATAATTGAAAAGCAGATTTAAGAAGCTAGTAACATCAATATCCTTTGGCAGCCAGACTGAGGATGGGTGTGTGTTGCCCTTTCATGACAGTAAGGCAGTAAGGGATCATCTATATTCAGATTAGAGCCATGGGTCTCATTTTTTTGCACACCTATATTGCAATCCTTTAATAATACAATTCAGTTGTGCAAGTACTTTATCCAGGATATGGGAACCAAATTAAATCTATTTTAACAGGGACTTTTTGGAGTGATTTGTAGCATATACATTTAATAAATAAATAAGGTTTAATTTGTCTCAGAATGAATTCATTTGAATTATCTTCATTTTTTTAGCAAAGATTCTAGCTCATCAATATACTGTATGCTTTATATGAGGAAATTTGGAGCTTTAATCCTATAGAATTTCCAAACAGGTGATAAAAAAAAAATTATCTGGCTCTAGAATAATATTATCTCAATTTAGCACTAGCTGTCATTTGAATGTGAAAACATATTTTAAATTACTATTTTGAAAACCTTGATTAGTTTAGTTTTGCAATTATAGCAACTTAAATGTTTGCCATTATAAACTTATTTTGAAAAAACAAAAATATAGTATTTTTGACCACAATATTGGAATATAAAATTTCAGAACATGACCTATGACTAAATTGGTTAATTAAGAACATTACCCTAGTTCAGGGGTCCTCAACCTTGGCAACTTTAAGACTTATGGACTTCAACTCCCAGAATTCTGGGAGTTGAAGTCCACAAGTCTTAAAGTTGCCAAGATTAAGGACCCCTGCCCTAGCTAGATCTGATCAGAAGTGAATCTCACTAGGTTTATTGGTCTTCCTTCCAGATAAGCAGTTCTAGGATTTTAATCTTAATCTCATTGTACAATATATTCCCAGGTTCAAGAAATGATTGCACAGATCCGCGAAGTTTTTATTAAAACACTGGAAGAACTTTCTTGGATGGATGCAAAAACCAAACAGAAAGCAGAAGAAAAGGCAAGATTTGCTTAAGGGTTATCTTGTAATTTGAGAATATTTCTTCATTTAAAATTTGAACAGTACAGGCTATCTACCAAAGGAATGATGTGTATTTGAGAGAGAGAGAAAGCAAGTGTATTATATTTCATGTAAATTATTGGCTAATTTCCAAGTCTCACTTTTTGAGCTGATATAAATAAATATTGGCAGCTATTACAATTAATTAAGTACAGATTGCAGTTGTGCACTCGGCTATGCATACTGTTTGTCGCGGAGTGCATGGTAAAAATGAAGTATATAGATGCTTCAAAGAGATGTTTTATGGTGAGATCATTATGCATTATCCATAATATATTATAAGAAAAGCTTCAGATATTATCATCTTCATCTTCTATTTGTGTTTTTCCATTGCTACTCTCATTATTTTTCTTGATAGGGAAAAAGAAACTTTTAAGGAGGGGAGAAAAGGAACAGATACAGAAGATCTTTTGATCAATAATTTTAAAATCCAGTAGTCCAGAAGCATTCTAAGAACTTGTGTTTGATCAACTAGGTGGTATCATTTTGCAAGTTGACCTCTGGTTTTCATTAAAAAAATAATACTGTATACAAAAAGCCCACAGTTTTTTGAGTTCCTAATTCAATTCTTAGTTTGACTGTTAAAAGGTTCTCAGTGTAACTTACTTCCAGAGATATTCTGAAAATAGGAATGGAGGACCACATATTGTATACTGCCTTGAGTTTCTAGAGGAAAAGTAGGAAATAAATGCAATAAATATGTATATAAATCTTTGTGTGGCTTTAGCATCAATTCTGCAAGCAAAAATGGGTAATTTGAAAACACAACGTTTTTGGCATTCATGAACTCAGAATGAAAATTAGGAAAATTCTTATATTTTACTTTAAATGACAACAAAGGAATTATTCTGTATTGTACTGGAAAAAAGAAATAGAAAGCAATTCAGAAGTATTGCCTGAACTAATTATATTTTGTTACGGTATTTATCTTTGGAAATCCCAAAAAGAACCTTCAGGAAAATCCTGGCATCAGAGAATAGTATGATCTGGTTGTAAAAGCTAGATCTAATTGAAAAGCCTTGTCAGTTGAAAGACAAACTATGACTATTTCCTGTGCTATTTAAACTTACAATTTGATTCCATTTGCATCATGGTTTATTTTAGGCTGTGGCAATTAAAGAACGAATTGGCTACCCTGATGAGATTCTGACAAATCCTGACAAATTAAACCAGGAGTACAAAGGTGTAAGTATTCATTAAATGTATTGTAAACAGTAGATATTATGTGTCCAGATTGATGATATAAATTTAAAAAAATCTCATTTGACATATAGTACACAGGAAGATGCCCTGTTATGATGCTTTTGCACAGACCTTATTCATTGTAAAATCCTGCACAATTTTAGTAATCATCCACTGTTCTGTACATATAGAGAAATAGAATTTATGGCTACAGTATTAGGAGTTTATGCAAACTCTATGACTGTTATTTTATGAAAGCTACATTGGTAGAGACATCCGTGATAAAGGATTTAATAGGAAAATATGCCATTGCTATTTTTTAAAGTCAGTAATTCTTTATTGTTTGATTACATCAAAAATCAAATGCAAGATGAATGCCTTTTATAAAGGGTTACAGAAATTAGCCAAATTAATAAACTAAAATAGTCATATTAAACAGCTGCCACTTTCTATTAATTAGGAGGTGTCTGACCCATTTTACCTCATTTGGCAACTGTTTAAAATGCATTCAGATCATCTTATCAGCAGTGATATATTTGTCCTGGAATGTGGTGAAGTTACTTTTGACATTACACAAAACATATTTACTTTCCTGGATGGAAGATACTGGAGTACCATGAATATTACTTAACACAAGCTTTCAGGAGACAGTGCAGACAGATATAAAGAGGAGACCCTAGAGGATTGAATCTCTGGCTTACATTATTTTACATCCACAAGTTGGCTTAATTATAAATTTTTATGGATAGTTCTTAAACTCTAGCATGGCCAGTTCAGAACAATTTTACTGCTTTTTAAAAAAATCTGATTATGACATTTAGTTAAAAAAATAATTTCATAAACTTCAATCAATTAAGCTAAAGATGCCATTATGATGAGTTCTATTTATATACTAAATAATAATTGAAACTAGAAGGATAAAATATCAAAAAGATGCATTTTACAAATTTACCTTGCAAAACTTAGAGAATATTAAAACAGATTTAAAGGTCTAAAGGATATGTACAGATATTGCTATTGTTACTGTTAGAAGTCTAATCAAATAAAACAATAAAAGCCATTTTACAGTTGTACAGTAGAATGCATCATGATAAGGAATGGATAACAATATACACAGATCAAAATTTTCACTACTGTATTTTAAATAGAACCCCATTCTGGCTCCACCAGCTGTTAGATCACATGTATTAGTTGAGCATTTAATTAGACTTATACTTCAGGGATTCTGTTTCTATTTCTTTCTATTAACTTTATTGGTTGATCAGTCTAACATTAAAATTAACCCTTAATTTATACCTTCATAATGTGTTCTTTTATTACTATTCCAGTATTATGCCTTTAATGTAAGCATTTACAGGATAACATTTGATCTACTGGAATTTATGGCTAAATGAGTAGGGAGTTAATTATGCAGCCATTTTGCTCAAAAGTCTTATTCTTCTGAACTGTGCTGAAATGGAAACATCAAATTGTTTGTTGTTCACCCATATTTCTCACTAACTCCACTTTATTTTTTAGAAGGAGAAACAAGGGGAAAGTGTAGGCATACTCAGGATAACCCATTGTGGTTAAGTAGAAATAAAATTTCCTTTAAATTAAGTTCAGTTCTTGTTGATTGCATGAACACTCTATGCAGCTTTTTGGCAACAAGATCAAAGGGATTTTCCAGTGCCTTTTTCTGAGATTTTTATCTACTTCCCAATCTTGGAACTCCCAATCACCATCCATGTATTGATTCAGTCCAACCCTATACAGCTTTTTGAGATCATCCATGTTTTGCTAGATGGTGCTGCCTGACAAGGTACAGAGAAAAAGGAAGAAAATAAAGGAGAGCAAAATAAATCTAAATGGAAGCAGCAAGAAGTAAACCAAAGTACCTCTAAGAAAAAATCCATGCTGATAATCTGCTATAGAGTGAAGGAGGAAAATAGAATTGAATATCCTGATAGAAGGATATATTTGATCAGTTACAATTCTGTATAGAACAAGCCATAGTGGGTAAGGTAAAGTGCAATATATAATACAGTTGCTATAAAATAGATGAAAAATTGAGAATCCTTCAGAAATGTATAGGATTTGCATATGCTTATACTTTAACTATAAATATAAGTGTAATATTCACCTCTCTCTTTTTCTCTGATTGTGATTACACAATACATTTATCCACAGTTGATTGAATAACTATTTAGTAAATTAATTAAATTGTCTTGGTTGGCACAACACACTGAACTGCAAGCTAGCTACAATGTCTAGGTTTATATAACACACCTAGCTATAAACTAGCCAACCACTAATATTTTCCACAGCTTCTGTGTATATGTGTGTCTTTCTGTATGTATAACAAACATTATTGCTCGTTCTCTCTTATTTCTATTTAAGTTGAATTACAAGGAAGAAGAATATTTTGAGAACTTGATTGAGAACTTGAAATTTGGCCAGAAGGAAAGACTAAAGAAACTTAGAGACAAAGTGGACAAAGATGAGTACGTATTTACATGGTTTGAATTTAAACATGGATTGTTGAGTGTTTGTAAGTAGTATCTATTTGTAATCAAAAAGGTTACTAACTTTATGACGTAGTAATCATTCCTTATGCTAAAAGGAAAACATGTTGCCCCTGGAATGCATGGCTTCCTATAATTAGGCTACGTCTCTCCACTTTGTATTCCTTCCTCAGTCTATTCATAGTTGCAGCCTCTACTGCCAATTTCTTCAGTGTGTTTTTGAGAAAAATGTTTGTGTATACATATAAATATGTACCTGTACAATCCCTAACCCATCATTCACTCCTGAGTGTGGCCATTGGGCTAAAAATAGTACCTGTTGTAAAGAAATATTCTAAAATTCCATCTGTAGCATTAGGAGAATCTCCATGAGCTGAGATAAACATAGTCATCTGGGGTCGTTTTTCTGTAATCTTTCCCTAGAGCTCATATCTGCCTTGTTAGTTCTGTACCTGTCAGCTGTGCAACAGTGAGAGAAGAAATACATATGTTGAGAAAAATCCATTCTCAAGGACCCAGTATAGAATGTTTCACAGTATAGTTGTATGATGTGAGCAATTTCTATTTGATTAAGAATTCTGAATGTTGTGTCTCCCAAATAATATGCAATGTTCAAACATTAAGACTGAAGACTCTATAACTTTCAGCAAGCTTTTCTGTAGAGCAGCACTCCAACTCCCCTTTCTTTCCTTAGAAGAAAAAAAAAACCCTTTTCATCTTGCAGAAGGGGGGATGAGTAGTAAATGAAGCAAGGTTCCTTAAACTGCAGAAGAAGCTCAAAAGCTTTCTGGTTGCTTGGGTTGCTCGATAGTCTTCTCCCATCAATAATGATGATAGAGTCCACAATCAACTTTGTCATTTCTAGCTCAGACCTTTCATATGTTGATGATCCACTTCCTTTTCCTATATAGAAAGGCACTTCTTTTTCTCCTTTGAGTCTGGCCAAGGCAGACTCGAGCAGATTGAGGCAAAATCCTGGATGAGTTGGATCGTACCAATAAAGCAGAATATTTGTAGCTCAGGATTAAAATGAGGAGTGCTTGATCCCCATAAAAATTCTAGTCATAGTCCCTGTGCATATGTAAGTGAATACACAGGACTATCCTCAGATAGTTAACCTCAGCCTCCAAATGTATTTGGACTAAAGCTTCCAGAATTCATTACTTTTTTATTACGACTGTAATAAAATTATGATTTATGTGGTATTGTTGGCACATTGAATTCCTATTCCATTCCTTTCACTGTAATGAAGATATGTTTACAGTAGTCCTCAGTCCTGGGACAGTATGTTCTCTTTTTTAGATATTAGTAGATGGGGTGATCTTCAAGCACCCAGTATTATTATCAGTAAATGGTTTTTCTGTTTTGTTATAAGATTATAATAATCAAGCAAAATCACTTTTGACAAATGATGCGATGTGAGTCTAAACAATATTAGTGATCTGTAGAATAGTCATAGTGCATCAATTCACCCAAGAGCTCTTGTATTTACAGTACAACAATGGAAACTATGAGAAATAAGTATAAATAATACCAATATGCATAGGAGTAAATAGTGTCATGGAATAAGTCCAAAATCTTTCTGAGGAAGAAATGAGACCTTGAACATTTCTTATATGAAGAATGCCATACTGAATTAAGGGTATGAAACCAATTACACAATTGCAAACTACCAAGATAGTCAAACACCTTCTACTGTGGAAAAAACAAGATTGTTACCTTGATTAGGAGAAGTTCGAAATTCATCTACATTAGTTTCCATGCAGGCCACAGGGAATAAACAATAAAGTAATCCAAAGAGTGCTTATTCATAGTCTTGATTAATTGAAAGTAAGCCAATAAAGAAATGTTCATTATGAATAAATAGTGTAACTATGTTGAAATAATAGTTACAATGCTCTTGTATTTTGGTTAATCTTAATCAGGCACAATTTACTCAGCAATTAACCAGGCAGAACATTGCTTATTCTTCAAAGTAGAGTGAATCTCTAAACATCTGTCAATATGATTTTGATGTAATTTCCTAATTATGGATATATTTAGTTACTTTATTTCATATGTTAAGTAATCCTAAAACAAAGCATTGTGAGCAATATTGATTCGGTTCCAAAATATTTGTTAAATATATTACAAGCATTTCAGAACAAAATTCCATCTTTAGGGCCTAGTCTTTCTCTTCCATTATTGACAAATACAATGGAAAGCTAACAGATTTATGTGGTTACTGCTTATGTAGAAGAGTGCCTTAAAAAAAACAGACGAGCTCAAGGTTCATTGTAGGCTTACTTCATAACCATTAGCTTGTGGCTTACTTCATCTTAGTGAGGGTCATTTATGTATGAAAAGATTGAAAGATTTGCTGCAGATTGACAGCAAATATGTAGCCATCATCCAATCTATCATCCCAGCCAAACCAAGAAGTCCACTATCAAATAAAATGCTGTGCAAAGTTGCAGCCTTGTTATGGTTCTTCTTTAAATCACCAGAAGTATGCCCTTCATATGTTTTTTTTTTATTGTTATCCAGATTTAGAGGACTTAAAATCTATTGTGTCTCCTCCTCCCCTGGATGTCAACTTTAACATTTTCATGCATTAATTAAATTTTCTGCAGATGGATAACTGGAGCTGCTGTTGTCAATGCGTTTTATTCACCTAGCAGGAATCAAATTGGTAAGTGAATATTGCTTAATTTAGCCTTCTCTACCTGCTGCCTTCCAGATGGACTGTCTACAATTGCACCCAACCAAGCTGATGAGGAGTTGTAGTCCAATACATGAGGAGGATGTTAGCTTGGAAGAAGCTGGTCTAATCACTTGGGAAGGAGAAAGTTATTTTTAGCCTCCCGTCAAATCCCAGGATTGGGTCAGGATTTGGAATTCATCTCCTTTCTGTCTGCTCATCTTTCTATACTGAAGCTCAGATACTATTACATATTTTTTGGACAGCTCATGCTTTTAACCAGAAGCTCAATAACTTGCTATGTAGAATGCAGTTCTTATGTGAGGTGGTTTTATAATCTTTTGTGATTTACCTTGGCATCTTGTTTTAATGGTCTGGGTTGGAAAGGAAATGTCTATTTAATTCTGTTTTCCTTTGGAAATTGTGAAATATCAACCTGATAGGTTCAACAGAGAAAAAAAAATTGGACGGGAGAGACCCTCCCAAGAGCACTGATTTCATTTCTCACGTCAGAGGAAGGCAATCCTTTTTAGCCAAAGGCAGCATTTTAAAAAATTATTATAGAAAAATAACATTCCCGAATGGACATGGGACTGAAAATCTGGAAGCTGTTTTATGCAGGAAAGTTGGGAGTTTAATAGTATTCAGACTATTTCCAACTTCTTTGTAAAAAATGTTGAAATTTAGTAATATTGCTACTTAGTCTCAGCAACTGTAACTCTTTATGTTCTGAGTTTGTTTAGCCCTATTTTAACTAAACAAATTTAGAAGAGCTAATGCTGTTATATAATTATAGCACTGATTAATGTTATTACCTCAATCTTCAAAGATATCCTGGAAAATTGTAAAATACCTTTGTATTTTTAAAAAAAATTGTAAAATACTGCCAATGAGCAGTTCCCCAAGAAGAAATGAATAACTAGGAATGAATGGTTTATCCAAAATTACTTCACCAGTGTGACATCAAGAAATTGAAAATTAAAATTTAATACTAATCAGTCAACTGAAAACTTCAGTCTGTACAGAGTATTTTCAAAGTCACATTGAAAATGCTTTTTCAAAGTGGAGAAAGATGGAGATTTTAAAAACATTTCCCGTAGAATTGAAAGCATACTTTATTCATATAGATTTTTATGCATCAGAGCCATAAACATGGAATATCACTTACACATCATTTAAAGTTTGCAGTCATACCTAAAGTGCCAGTTAAATTAGAAGTCAGACTTTTGATATTTTAAAAATGAATACATTTTCATTTAAAAGATATATACTGAAACTCTCAGAGTTCTCTAATCTATTCAGATTATTTTGAATTTTGTTTCTGTTTTTGAAAATATTAGGTCTCATTCCTAGTTTTGTTTCATCTTCATAAGCATTCCCTCCACTTCTTCCAAATCATTAAAATATTGAAGATTGAACACTATGGAATAACAATTTCTCATTCACATTTGATAAGGAGCCAATAATGACCACTGTCTGATATGGTGTTTTGCTATTTATTTCATACTTAATTAGTATGACTAATTAAGTATGAAATGCTTTGTCAAATGCTTTGCTAAACTCAAGATATATTATGTTCACAGATAAAATCAAGATACATTATGTTCACAGATAAAATCAAGATACATTATGTTCATAAACTACCTGCTTAAAAAGTAGATTTAACACAAATTGCCTACTTAAAAAATGAAATTATAAATCAAATCTTAATTGTTCAATTGAAGGAATCAAATGTCTGTTACTCCCAAATATCCATTAAATTGCATATTGCATCATATGATGATTTGCTTAATAACATAATTGAACAAGTGATGTAAATTGACCTAAATGGCATAATGTTTATTATGGCATCATTATGTAAGTGAAATAACTCACCACAAATGTGGTACAATTAATGTGAATGAAACTGCTTTATCTATTCTACATCATATGCAGCATACTTGTCTCTTATTTAGAAGTGGGGGGGGGTTATATCCTGTCTGAAATGGTTCCATTAATCTGACATCCACTAAATTATGGGCAGTTAAAATATCTTCGTAAATTTGTCTTGCTTTGGATGTTTATTATGAAATATCTTGTTTTTAGAGAGCTTATACATTGGTTGCTTTATAATATGTGTAGAATCTTCTAGTATTCAATGATCTCAATATCATTGAGTATCATTATTTGCCCCCTGTTTTGAAGACAGGGACAATATTTAATCTTCTCTAATATTTATACTTCACTGATTTCCCAGATTTCCTCAAAAATAATAGTTAGAAATTCAATCAGATCCCTGGCAAATTACTTCATATTCTAATTTAAAATCTGTTTGCCCTACAAATATGAATTCATTCAAGACCACTGTGTATCTATTAAACTGAAATATAATCCTTCTCCTTCAACCAGCTCATCTAATTTTTCAATCCTCTCCTTAGACAAAACTCAGACAAAATAGAAATTGAATAGCAAATGTTCTTTCCTTGTTAAAAGTTTTCCTTGTGTCATCTTTAATTTCTGGGTCCTCTTAGATGACATAGCAATTGACAGGATCAAGAGTGATCCATTATACATTTAGATCTTGCTATAATGAAAATGACTCTCAGATGGATATAAGCACAATGCAAAAAGAACAATAACTGAATTTGATCTCCAGTTATTTCCTTATTAAAATTTATTCTGCTTTAAAGTTCTATAGGTATACAAGGTATTAATACTGAAATCCCTGGTCTCATTTTTCTATACAGTTTTTCCTGCAGGTATCTTGCAGCCACCCTTCTTTAGTGCATCACAGCCTAAGTCCCTGAATTTTGGTGGAATTGGCATGGTCATTGGACATGAAATCACCCATGGCTTTGATGACAATGGTAAGACAAAACACACGCACACACAAACACACACAAGATTTCATAAATGTACATTAAGAATTCAAGGGGAACAAAATATTGCTGTGTTATTTTTCAATAACATTTGCACTAGGGAAAAGATTGATTGACTGAGTGAATGAGTGAGTGAGTGAGTGATCTCATTTATATCCTTCCTTTTTCTTCACAAATTAAAACTCATTTTACCTGAGTACCTCCTTAAATTTTATCCCAACAACAAGCCTATATGGTAAATTGGGCTGAGAAATAGTAACTGGCTCCAAAGCAATTTCAGTGGATGAGGGTAGATTAGAATGTGGTCTTTCCTATGCCTGATCCAACATCTTAACCACCATGCCACATTAGTGTCACATAACAGTGTTAACTTTGCCTATTATTGTAAATGCCTCTTCATTTGTATTTCCCTTTTGCCTGCCAAAAGAGCCTCAAAGAAACTAATTAACAAGCCCATGCTTTTTGGAAACATTTGCATTATATTAAAATGCTAACCAACTAACATACAAAACATCATATCAAGGACATTGAACCCTGGTGGTGCAGTGGTTAGAATGCAGTACTGCAGGCTACGTTTGCTGACTGGGGCTGCCAGCAATTTGGCAGTTCAAGTCTCACCGGTGTAAGGTTGACTCAGCTGTCCATCCTTCCAAGGTTGGTAAAATGAGGACCCAGATTGTTGGTGGCAATATGTTCACTCTGTAAACTTAGAGAGGGCTGTAAAGCACTGTGAAGCAGTATAAAAATCTAAGTGCTATTGCTATTGGTTGCAATTAGGAATTCATAATAAAGCAACTTATTGAAATGTTAGTGCTGTCATTCATATATCCTTATGTAGCTGTATATCTAAATATGCATCCATACATTTACACTTACTAACTGCAATTGGGACAGGCAACTCTCTCACTAAGTGGCACAGTCAATAAACAAAGTTACATGTGATCATGCCAACTTACAACATTCACTCTGACCATTAAGCAAATCACTGTGGGTTATTAAATGTGACATCACATAACTGTAACTTGGACTTCCTGCTGGCTTTCCCATTGATTTTGCATATTGGAAGCCAGCTATGAAGGTTGCAAATGGTGATCCTGTGACCATGGGGTACTGCAACCATCATCAATGTGTGCCAGTTGCCAAGTACCTGAATTCCTATCACATAACTGGGGTTACTGCAATGATCACAACTTCAAGGACTGTTCATAAGTCTCCCTTTTCAGCACTGTCATAACTTTGAATGGTCACTGAATGAGTGGTCAATAAGCAAGGACTACCTGTATTTATATCTGGCCAGAGATAGAGATAATATAGATACTCCTCCCATTCCTGACATCTATTTAATATATCTAGTGGGCTTTTTAAAAATATACATATATTTAGTCCTAGCAATGCACAGTACTTTATTATGAAGCAGTGGAGAAGCAGCAGATGGCAATTTCTGCCAGTCATTAGATGTGCAAGCATAGGAAGCTTAGGGGAGATTATGTAATCCAAACACTCTTCTATCTGAAGCCTGCAAACTGTCTGGGATAAGATTAAGCCAATGGAATGATTAATGTTCTGTGCTTGAAATCCATGGACTAAACAGCTCTTGGAGAGGGCGAAAGCTTCACTCAGTCTATTTAACAGCAGAATTAGTTAACCACACTAGATACCTGGACATATTGTATGTTGCATCACTGAAAGGCCTGCTGACTGAATACTTTGGCAATGTGGCAGAATGATAATGTACATGAGAACAAGGTGTGATTTGGATAGTTCAAAATAAAATATCCATAAGCATCCTTGGTAGGCAAAACGCATTGTGATATTGTACTGCAGCCTCTGTTCTTTATGTACTCACATGTAATTTCACAACACAATACGCTTTCTGCATAATTTTCCTCCTTTTCCAAGCTGTGGATTCACTACATATTTACTGATGCAAGGTGAGCCTGAAAGTGGATGCAGCAGTATATAAACTCCAGAGCAGCACAAATTACTTTTTTTAATATAGAAAAAGATGTGGCACAAGGAAGTAGCGCTCAACATGTTTGAAGTTACAACTGTGCTGAAAAAAGTGACTTGTGACTGGTCCTCATAGTTACAACCATTGCAGCATCCCTATGATCTCATGATCATGAATCAGGTTTTGGCAAGCGGCTTGCAGTTATGAAGGTCACAGCATCCAGCAGTCATCTGATCACCATTTGTGACCTTTTCACCTGGCTTCCAAGAAATAATGTCAATGAGAAAAGCCAGATTTGTGTAACAATAATGGCAAAAATTGGGTATGGTCACATAATGACTTACTTAACAACCCATCATTTAGCCAGAGAAGTTCTGGTCCCAATTGTGTTCATAAATTGAGAACTACCTGTACAGCAAATCACACTTTGCATATATTGGATTCTACCTTGAAGTTGTTAGGCAAATTTTCTAAAAGAAACCCTACACTCTTGGCATATTTAGCTGAGATATAATGCAGTTTATTATCTCTGACTTTGTAATTATTTATTCATATACATTATTTCAGGAAGAAATTTTAACGCAGAAGGGGACCTCATAGACTGGTGGAGTCAAGAATCTGCAAACAATTTTAAAAGTCAGTCTCGGTGCATGATATATCAGTATGGGAATTTCACATGGGATCTAGCTAGTGGACAAAACGTATGTGGTTTGTTTAATACAAAATTTATTATGTATATTTTGGGTGTAGCCTTATGTTTTATTATGCAACAAAGCATGTATAATTAGGGAAACAGTTCTTGGAAGACTGGATTTCTGTTCAGCATATCTAAACATGTTTGGACATTTGTGTCATCTATCAAATTGATTATGAAATTTGTTTCCTTAAAGATAAGCTCACTATTGGATGGTTGTCACTTCTCAAAGTTCATCTGCTAAAATTCAAAGATAGCATAGAAAAATGCTATCACTAACTAACAAAATGAAATTCAATGGTGAAAAAAGCAAGATTCTACATTTAGGCAAGAAAAACCAAATGCACAAGTACAGCATAGGTGGCACCATGCTCAATAGTAGTAACTGTGAGAGGGACCTCGGAGTCCTAGTAGACAATCACCTAAATATGAGCCAGCAGTGTGCTGCAGCTGCCAAAAAGGCCAACACAGTGCTAGGCTGCATTAACAGAGGGATAGAATCATGATCACGTGAAGTATTAATACCACTCTTCAATGCCTTGGTAAGGCCACACTTGGAATACTGCATCCAGTTTTGGTCACCACGATGTAAAAAAGATGTTGAGACTCTAGAAAGAGTACAGAGAAGAGCAACAAAGATGATTAGGGGACTGGAGGCTAAAACATATAAGGAACGGTTGCTAGAATTGGGTATGTCTAGTTTAACGAAGAGAAGGACAAGGGGGGACATGATAGCAGTATTCCAATATCTCAGGGGCTGCCATAAAGAAGAGGGAATTAAGCTATTTTCCAAAGCACCTGAAGGCAGGACAAGAAGCAACGGGTGGAAACTATCAAGGAGAGAAGCAACCTAGAACTAAGGAGAAACTTCCTGACAGTGAGAACAATTAATCAGTGGAACAGCCTGCCTCCAGAAGCAGTAAATGCTCCAACACTGGAAGTTTTTAAGAAGAGACTGGACAGCCATTTGTCCGAAATGGTGTAGGGTTTCCTGCCTGAGCAGGGGGTTGGACTAGATGACCTCCAAGGTCCCTTCCAACTTTACTACTATTACTATTACTAAAATGGACTCCAGTTTGAACATAATATTAAACTGATTGCAGGCTGGAACTGACTGGCAGGTAGACATACAAATCTGAAATATCCATCGATACACACATACAGACACAATCCAAAATTTAGCTTCAGACTCATGCTTTTCTGTCCTTATCAGCTCACACTCCTGAAAGGAGAAGATGGGAGCTTGTTTGCAAAACATTTATCTGAACTGTAGAAGTCCTGCTTCATTTCAACTATTTTTTTAAACCAGTTTGATCCTTATTTGATCCTAACTTAAGTTTGATCTTTGGTTAACTGGCATAACAGTACATGTCTGTCCAGATAGCATTATTGTCATAGATTTTTTTAAGGTGGTTAAGATTTAAAATATGTATTTTGATATATTACATGTATGTAGGATGTATTTTAGAGAAGTATTATATATTGCAGCTGTAATTTAAAAATATCTAAATACAAAAGTTCTCAGGCATTTTGATTTTAAGTTTATTCCACTGCTGAGAATTTTAAAGTTTTAAACAGGTCTAATGCAGGATACAAATTTGAAAAAATTACCATCAGGTTCAGCTATAAAACATGCTGTGATTAATTAAATATAAATTTTTCAAGCTTCTATTCATAGTAATGTTTGAAAAAGTGGAAAAAAGAGCCCATGGAAGCAACATTTTGTTTAGATGGGCAACACACAAGGGGCTGTACACAAGCTCTGATCTGTTCATCATGTTTTGTTTTACAATTATGGATAAAAATAAGAGACAACATTTTCTACCATTTTGCCACAAAACATGGAGAGTAAGCCCCAAATTAGCTTTATATATATATATATATATATATATATATATATATATATATATATATATATATATATATATAAAAAAACAGATTTTATGCAATTTTTCCCCTTTTACATACAAAAAACTCCAGCAAGCAAGAATCAAATCCTACCCCTTACCTTCATACACAACAAAGCCTTATCTGCTTTCTATTATAAGCTCAGCTTTATGCCTCCCGTTTATTACTAAAGGTGGCTTACTTTCCATATTAGTACAGAATTAAAGTGTCAGCAGTTCAATAAGGGTTATTCATTTCAGTTACCTGGAACAGAATATATGAAGAAAGAAAATCTATATATTATGGACTATTTGAACCAGTTGTGCAATAAATCATATTGCAAACCTTCACTTTTCTGTGGGATTCCTTTCATAGAAATCAGTAATGAAACATTTCCCTTTAGACTTCATAATTTTTATTCCATTTTGACTTTGAAGGCATTCTTCTTGGAATTTGATCATTTGTAGTTAGTTTTATAGTGAAAGAAAAAAATAAAAAGAAAATCAGGGTCAGTTTTCATTTCTTCCTTTTTCCTTTCAGCTTAGTGGAATCAATACTCTTGGTGAAAATATTGCTGACAATGGAGGCATTAGACAAGCATACAGGGTGAGAAATGACTATTTTTTCTTTCTTCACAACTGAAATGATTATTTCTTGCAATATATTCATTGAAATAGAGGTTTCCAATGGTGCTTCTTTGACACAGGTCTGGTTTATTAAAACCCTAAAGGTTATTTTTCATATAAACTTATGTACATTACTTTTTAATACATAATTGGTAATTGTATCCCCCAAATCTCCAACTTTCCTCTCTTTCTGCCCTTTATTTCCATATCTTTCACCTCTGGTGCATGTCATGATTATTTTCAATGTATAGTTGTGCAAGTTCTGTGCACAATATATTGTGAAATGGGAATTCCGCACTTGCTTCCTCCATCATTTGCTCTCCTTAAATGTTGTACTAGATTCATCATCCCCAGCCACGATAAGAAAGATAATACTCTGCAATTCTGCTAAGATCCATGAATTTGTGTATGTTTAATGGGCCCCCAAAGATACATTACTCCATTATTTCACAAAGCAATTTTTCAATCTAAACCACAATGAGCTGTACAAGAATAAGCTACCTAAAAGATGTATTTTTTTCTTATTGATTGTATATTTCATACTATGCAAAATCATTCCTATCTTTTTACTAATGGTAATATATATGAGTTCATTCATACATTCATTTAATGTACTTGGTTTTAGATTTAACTTTATATCTTATGGAAGGAGTTGTGGGACATCACATTCTACCACATTCTACTATCACATTCTATGGATAAGCATAGAGTTGTATTTTTTTGCATTATGATCCATCATAGGCTGGGGGATCAAACTGGAAAGACAAAGTATAAAGATTGAACACAAATTCTGATATATTGGAGGTGTGAGCTAATCTGAAAAAAATCTGATTGGGATAAAAGTTGTGGTAGAGCTCCACAATTCGCAAAATGTAACTTTCATTGCCAAGTAGAAGAAACTGACATTTTAGAACATATTGAAAAACATTTTATATTCTATGTGGCATGCCAAATTGAGAATGAGGGAGACAAACTCTCTAAGACTCACAATGAAATTCTCTTGAGAGTGTGACTTCCAGCGGTATTATGTTGAGTAGGAGTTTTACCATCAGTCCTTTCGTGTTTAGTCTGGCAAATAACATACACACAATAACCTGAATAATCAAAGCATCCCACAATCTTATTAATATAGCAGGGATTGTATTGACGATGGACATTAAGATGATAAGAGAAAAGGTTTTAACATTTTATTTATCTATTGGAATCAGACAGGATGGACCTTTTAGAACAGGGGGTGTTAAACTGGCGGCCCACGGGCCAGATGCGCATGCACAGGCCATGCCCACCCCGGTTCCACAAAGACAAAAATGTTACAATATATCACGTGATGTGATCGAGTTTGACCCCCGTGTTTTAGAGGAACACTACCTTTCAGAATGAAATTTCAAAAGGATTTTGAAACAAACATAGATAGAAATGGAATTTGGAGAAGTGGCCATTTGATTTATTAAAAGCAGTAGTAAAATACTCATGTGGCATTTTCTTCTGGTCACATTATCTACCAGTGTCCAGTATGTACATTTGTATATGTTTGTGTCTCAAAACTAGCTGGCAATGTAAGCAGCATTAAAAAAACACTGACAAAGTTGGTTTACTACTTTAACGCTGATCTATTGAAATAATGAATGTGTGAATAGTGTCTTTGCTTTCTTCCATGTTAGACTGTTTGCATGTCAGCATACTAATCAAGCGTGGCAGGAAGAGTTCCTGAGCTCTACTTGAACATTATCCTCTGCCCATGTTTTTTAAAGGAGATGGAAAAAGGGCATTTTTAAAGGAAAAGCTAGTGATCCCCTTATGCTGGACTGATTCTCTCCTTTCCTGTTTATTAAGTGGACATTGGTAAATCAATGTAATGCCCTTGATTCTTATGATAACTCAGACCTCTTAGCCTTCTTTCCAATGCATATTTACCTGGGAGCTGAATTAAGTGATGCTTACTTGTATTAAGGTTGTCCTGTTTCAAAACAGTAAAGTCTTTCCCCTTTTCTCTTTATTTGCCAGGCCTATGAATCTTATGTACAGAAGAATGGAGAAGAGAAACTGCTTCCTGGGCTTGACCTCAACCATAAACAACTATTCTTTCTGAATTTTGCACAGGTATTATGCTTGAGCTTGATTGAAAGCTTTGCAAATTATTTTGAGTCACAATTTCACAGTTAAGATGGAAACAGCCGGATGGCTCTTCTCCTTCTGACATGAACTGGCAGGATTGCTAAGGTGACTGCCTTCATGGCCGTCAGACCGAGAAATGTGTGGCCTGTCAGATTAAGTTAATCACTACTCTGTGAATGAATGCATTCTGGAGGTGAACCAAGGAGGTGAGCCAAGGAAACCAACTGGCCTATGATCCTCTACTTTGTTTTTAGAGCACTTTGTATCTAGAAGTTGTCTAAGAACTTTTCCGCATAGCAGACTTAAGCGGCTTGATTCCTGTCCCATAAACCAGCTGACAATAAAGCCATCTTAGGAAATCCCTTTGCAGATTTCAGTCCTTTCCTTCACTTTGGCCAGGGTGATGTTTTCAACTGTGTTTCCAATAGTCCATAACTGGTGGTTTCCCCTGGAGGGAAGGGAAGGAGATTGGGAAGGGATTGACCGCTATTTTGCAAACATTCAAGTCCCTTGGGTCAGAATAACAAAATGGCAGAACACTGTCAGTTTCAAGTCCATTCTTTCATTGCTTCATCAGTGAGCTTATTAAAAAAATAAGGCTAGGTTTTCATCATTCCACTGGGGAACTTGGAAAAAATAAATGGCTACAGAGGAAAGAGAACTGGAGGGGAAGGCACACTCCTGCCAGGATGCATAGTAGCTGATTAGAATAGAGAATGGTTCTTTACAATGAGATGAAGCACAGCAGGTAAACCAGACTGTGCCATTTGAGCTGTCACAACTTGAAACACTCAAGTTCTGATGAGTAGCAGGAACAGATGGGCAATGTTGCCTTTCTAGTGGTCTGAAGGCAGACAGAGGACTTTGTTATGCATCCTGCTCCAAGAAATGATCAGTAACTCATACTGGCAATGGGGCAAGCTGCTTGTACAGATCAACTACTGTATTAATATTCCACACACTATCTCCACGTTCTATTCCATGTCACAGCTTTGGCCTCAGAAAAGTGAAAGTAGCAACTACAATTAATCATATTTTCTGCAAACTTTTTTTGTTTTGTTTTGTTTTCAAAGATATGGTGTGGGACATACAGGCCAGAATATGCTGTCAATTCTATTAAAACTGATGTACACAGCCCTGGCAAATTCAGGTAAGTGTCCAAATGAACCTTTGAAAACAACACTATTATTTATTTGCAAATTAAAGTATGTCCGTTGTCTTCATAAATTAATGCCATACTTAATGTGTAGGACTTTGTAGCAGCAAAATGCTGTTTTTCTTCTTTCTTTCTTTTTTCTTCCTCATTCAATATTGGCTAGTTTCCTCCTCCCTCTCCTTGTTCCTGGAACAATTTGCATTCCCAGTGCAAGCAGACATAATTTCCCAAATGCTCCCTCCTCTCTAGTGCAGCCAGTGCCATTCTACTAGCAACAATAGACAAGGATATCCTGCAGGGAGGGAAGAGTTAAAAAAAAATAATCAAGATGACAATAGTAACTGTACAGTTACCATATTGACTTTCTTTGACCAGCATCAGCACCATACACCAAGGTGGCATAAAGAGTGCACCATATATAAGTCCATGTCCAAATGAATTTTGAAGGGCACTATAGGATTTGGGGCAGAGGAGAAGAGACGTGATGGAAGATTTAAATAAGTTCAACATGTTCTCAGCTAGTACAAACTGGCTGTTTGAAAAGTCTATCCATAAGAACAGCCTCCACACTACTATAGGTAGTCCTTGACTTACAACAGTTCACTTAGTGACTGTTCAAAATTACAATGGCACTAAACAGAGCGACCTATGACCATTTTTCACACTTATGATCTTTGTAGCATCCCCATGATCATGTGATCAAAATTCAGATGCTATGACCATTGCAGTGTCCCAGGATCATGTGATTCCCTTTTGCAGCCTTTGAATAAGCAAAGTCAATGCAGGAACCAGATTCACTTAACAACCATGTTACTATCTTATCAATTGCAGTGATTTATTTAACAACTGTGGCAAGAAATGTCATAAAATAGGGCAAAACTCACTTAACAAATGTCTCACTTAACAACTGAAATTTTGGGCTCAAGGACTACCTGTATTTGAAAAGAAGTGTTTTCAGTTTCTATTGAATTAAATGGTCTAATGATAGACAATATGTTTATCATACATGAGCCATCAACAAAATTTCAGAACTGGACAAAATTTTGCTTATATCAGTTTTGAAAGTGAATCATTTTGTTTTATTCATGTTTCATTATGTAATTAAATGTTTCATGAAAGCAGCATGAACATTCTGAAGCTGGCATCATTTAAAAAAAAATATTTTTTTTATTCTGGAGTGTTTCCAGATTAGGTTTCAGTTGGGGAAGATCTTTATCCTATTATTGGCAGCAGCATGATAAATTGGGAAAGATTACATCTAATTCTATCATAACTTGAAACATATGTCTAATTTTTTTCAGCCAGATATGTTGCAGTCTGTAAGTCTTAGTCTACAAGGGCAATTTCTTTTTAATTTGGATTTATTTTATAGTCAGGAATCCAATGTATGGTTTCTGGTCAATTATCAGAGATGCCACCAAGACTTAGACTCTGCTAAATACAGCATATGAAATAATAGAAATTATAGTTAATTTGCTACACATGTGCTAAAAGCCCTAGCATTTAGAAAATGGAAGAAAGCCAGCATGACATTTTTTTCTTCTTAAATGTTGATCTTTAAGATAGATTCATCAATACCAAATTGTGTTTTTGTTTTACTTGCTCTGAAGGGTTCTGGGATCATTGCAGAACAACTTGGAGTTTTCTGAGGCCTTTAAATGTACTGATAAAGATTATATGGATCCTGTGAAAAAGTGTCGTGTTTGGTAACAATGCTACACATAGCAGAAGCGAAGAGGAACAAGAAATCTGGAATGTTTTAAGCACAATAGAAGTGACTTTGCAGCAAAAGGGACCATAAAAAGGATATATCAGGTGCACTAATAAAGTGGATTTTTTTTAGTAAAGACAACAAAAAAGCCTTGCTCAGAAAGCATCACCCAGCAGTTTATTCTGATTAAACTAGGAAAATGATAAAGTGCTCCAAGTAGGAGTTTCATTTTTTTAAGATCCTTCCTACTTTCCACTCAGTGTTCAGCTTTTACATTTTAATTTGTTCATTAACACATTTGTTTAAAAGCAAATCCCACCAATTTCAGTGGAACTTACTTTCAGAGGTGTGTACTCAATTTGAACAATCCGAGTCACATAAATGTGTTCTTAACTTTGAAAACAGATGAAAAAAGGGAATACCAAACAATGCAAAAGCTTGAATGTGAAATGTAGTGAGTGTGAGATTTAGAACCTTTCCCATTTTTCATCACACACTTGTTTTTCAGAAATGGCCTTAGGAGCTTTAGTACCCAGAAAAAAATGTGTGGGCCTTAAGTTAATATACCCTGAAACCCATTGGAATCTGGATACTTTCTTATTGCACTAATGGTAGCTGTTAAGTAGAGTCACCTGTAACAACTTTGGCTCTCCATATAGTGTATATCCTTCCTACACAAGAAGATGTACAGAGTCAGAGGTTATGGATGAATGGAGTGTGCAATCACATGTGCAGTGATAATGTGTGCCTATCACAACCTGTTCTATATGCCATTACTTTCTGGGTTGGAGATTAATGGTAGGCATTGACCCATCACTGGATAAAAGAAAAATAGGCAAGCCCTGTTGTCTTTCAACCTAATGTCACCTATTTTTATATTCATAAGTGACGAGTCACATGGTGAAGGATCTGTTGCTTCCTCTCAATTTCACACTACATATAGGTCTTCTTTTTCTTCCAGATGGAGGCTCTCTGTGGGCTCCATTTTAAAACCTCTTCTCTGCCTGTTCCTTTCTATTTGAATCTCTGTTCCTCAAAACAATCCAAAGACAACTTGATACTCTAAGAGAAGGGATTAAGTATTGACCAAATGTGTTGCTTGTTGCTTTCTAAAACCAAACAATACTGTAGATAATTTATTAATTTTTAGCATATCTTATAATTAGTGCAGGTGGAATCAAATTCCTTCATGTTTTTTCTAAGATTCTCCTGTTTTTTCTCAAATTTTGGTCATTTTTTTAAAAAAGACAAACTTGTTTGTAAAATTATACAATGTAATGCTTTTTTATATTTAATTCTGAACTATTCTGGTCCTGAATGAGTGCATACCATTGGAATGTCAGGGTACAAACATTCTTTAAATGGTTAATTTTCAATAAAAGGCCCTTTAGTAAAAGGATGTGTTGATATAGGGACTGAATTTGAAATAAGCTTTGAAGATAATGAAACACTGGGACATAAATACTTAACACAAATAATGTTCATGATTGTTCTAAATCAGCAGAATCTTTGCTTCAGTTAATAATGTTCTCTATGCGGGAGTGTATATGTCTGGATTCATAATAATAAAAATACTTAAAAATCTGCTGATATGCCTTCCTGCAAAGAGACAAGAAACATATTGCTTCTGATATTGAAGTACACCAAGATTTCCAAAATAAATGAATAAATACCAGAATACCTCAGATGGCTTGACTGAGTCTGTTTCTGAGCATCTAAAGATTTTATGTGCATTTGAATTTTCACATTTGTCATCTGATGAACCATTTTGATAATTAAATTTAAGAAACATTTATATTATTTATATTATTGTCTGTAACAGTGGTAATCTGTGTGTTTTTCTTGAAAAGGGCAACAGACATGTAAAGGCAGGCTCTCATGCTGAACCATTAAACTAGTCAAACATAACTTTTGTAGAGAATCACCATCATATCCAAATCCAGTATAGCTTTCTTGTGGTTAAAGGCAATGGTGGGATTTAAACATGTGAACAACCGGTTCTCTATGTGGATGATGCTTCCACAAGTCCATTCTGAGCCCGGGCAACAAAAAAATTGCTACCAGTTCTGCCAAAGTGGTATGAACTGGCTGAATCCCACCACTGGTTAAAGAAGAATCTTACTCTCATCTATGATGCTACAAAGCTGGTATTTTTTATATTATTATATATAAAACTTCTATTCATAGTGACATTATCTCTATGGTTGCCATTTTTTTCTATGCAATTTGTGCAGATTCTTTTCAAGCTTATTTTTTTCCTTAACATGACAAGATATGTTCTCCAGAAGCATTAAAGATGCATCCATTCTTATACTTGAACCCTTCTAATCTTCAAAGACATGTCTATCCACTTTGGCGTAATCTGATTTTATAAACAATAAATTTATGTTATCAAAACAGAGGATCTAGTTTGCAGACCTCGGAAGTTGCCATGTCTGATATATCTTAGCCATATACTTTCAGTTGCTAAAATGCTTGATTTCTTAGTAACTTCTGATTTTAAGATAGGAAACTGTTTGTGCTCATTTCTGCTTTATTTTGCCATGTTGGAGTAAAGCACACATACATAGTGTTTTTTAAAAAAAAAAAGTTGAAAGGATTGAAACAAAATGATCAATGAATGAAGAAGATAAAAGTTAACAAACTATGAAGAATCCTTCTTGATCACTTCAAGAGGTGTACTAGAAAGCTTTACTAAATGAATCAAGACAATGTTCTTTCCTACCCTGATAAAAGCCTTTTGGTGATTGCAAGCTGTTAAACCTGCAGAATGGAGGAATGTCAGCTGAGGACCCTAAAATATTTCCTTGATTGCTGCTTCTTATAAGTCAGATAAATGTTTAACCTTATCCATTTTGATTCTATCCAAGAGTCCTTGAAAAATTAGAGCTCTAATAACCTTATATGTTCCATTAGATCAGTGGTTCTCAACCTTCCTAATGCCGCAACCATTTCATACAGTTCCTCATGTTGTGGTGACCCCCAACCCACCATCCAGCTGGCGGGGGGGGCATCAAAAACTTGACAAAAAAAAGGGAAAAAATGGGAAAGTATAGTAGTCCTCGACTTACAACAATTCGCTTAGTGACTGAAAGTTACAACAGCACTGAAAAAAGCGAATTATGATCATTTTTCACACTTATGATTGTTGCAGCATCCCCAGGGTCATGTGATTTACATTCGGATGCTTGACAACTGATTCATACTTATGACATTCACAGTGTCCCAGGGTCACGTGATCAATGGCCAGGGGGCGTGGCCAGCTGATCACTCAGGTTGCAGAGTGCCTGTGAGGGGGGAATCTGTGGGTCTCTGGGATGAGACTGGGGTGGGTGCCTGCCTTCCTTCCCTTCCCTTCTCTCTCCTTGTCTCTTCCTTCTTTTCTTCCTTTCCTTCACCTCCCTCTTAGTCTCTTCCTCCTTTCCTCCCTCTCCCACTGTCCCTTCCTTCTTTCTTTTCTTCCTTTCCTTCACCTCCCTTAGTCTCTTCCACCTTCCCTCCCTCTTTCCCATTGTCCCTTCCTTTTTTCCTTCCTTCCTTCCTTCCTTCCTTCCTTCCTTCCTTCCTTCCTTCCTTCCTTCCTTCCCTCTTTGTCCCTTCCTTCCTTCCCTCCCTTCCGTTGTTCCTTCCTTCCTTCCCTCTCTTATTGTCCCTTCCTTCCTTCCCTCTTTGTCCCTTCCTTCCTTCCCTCCCTTCCATTGTTCCTTCCTTCCTTCCCTCTCTTATTGTCCCTTACTTCCCTCCCTCTTCATCCCTGCTTTCCTCCCCCTCTCCATGCCCAGGAAGGGACAAGGAGAGGGGGACAGGCTGCCAGAGGCAGAGGAGAGCTCCACCCAGCTCACTTGCTCAGCTTCGCCAGAAAATATGCCGCTTGCTAAATTAGCAGAAGCTCCAGGATCAGCGCCGGGCTACAGCTGATTTGCGCTTCTGCTAAATTAGCAAGCGGCATATTTTCTAGCAAGGCTCGAGCAAGTTTGCTGGGCAGGAGCCAAGGAGAGCTGCTACAGCTGATCTGCTTCTTGGCTGCTCTGCAAAAGCGCGGATCAACTATAGAGGTTCGCCCTGATCCTGGACAAGAAGGAAGGAAGGAAGGAAGGAAGGAAGGAAGGAAGGAAGGAAGGAAGGAAGGAAGGAAGGAAGGAAGGAAGGAAGGAAGGAAGGGACAAGGGGAAAGAGGGAGGGAAGGAGGGACAAAGAGGGAGGCAAAGGAAAGGAAAGGAAAGGAAAGGAAAGGAAAGGAAAGGAAAGGAAGGAAGGAAGGAAGGAAGGAAGGAAGGAAGGAAGGAAGGAAGGAAGGAAGGAAGGAAGGAAGTTCCAGCCAGCAGAGGCTTGGCAGCCCGGCTGCCGAGGAACAGAAGAACACAAAGCCAAGGAGAAGAAGGTGGCAGTTTCCTCCCAAAGGAGGCTCCTTTTCTCCATCCCTTCCCTGGGTTTGTGGGGAATTTCTCATCACCAATGCTGACAAGTGCTCCTTTCTCTCTCCCTTTGCTTCTCCCCCCTCCCCCTGCTTTCGTGAGGATTGTGGCACCCTTGGGAAGCCAAACGTGCTTTGAAGCTTAGGAGTGGAGGAGGAGTCCCTTCCTCCTTCCCTCCCTCTCTCCCTGCCAAGCCCCGGCGGGCTCGACATGAGCAGGCAGAGGAGGAGTCAAGAACGGGCAGGGTGGCAAAGGAGACTGGCGGCCATCGCCAGACCTCCCAATTGGCAAGCGCAAGTTCGGGGGTCATCAGCTGACGGGCACAGGAATTGGGTGCTGCGGCGGCCTCCCCTTTGTTGACCTGTGTGCATGAGAAGAAGTCAATCTGGTTGCTGCACAATGAGTCTCTGGGGAAGGTGGGGCCTTGCTCTGCACCTGCACTCTTCATGTGCCCCCTGCAGGGCACATTTGATAGAGTTCATGCAGACTGCCGCCAAGTAGCATATTTTCCACAAACAAGTGAGGTGGAGCGGGGGGGGAGGGAGAGAAGGCAGTTGACAAGCCCTGTATAAGACCATCGGAAATATGTGTTTTCCAATGGTCTTAGGCGACCCCTGTGAAAGATTCGTGCGACCCCCAAAAGGGTCACGACCCACAGGTTGAGAACCGCTGCATTAGATGAACCCAATTCTTACAGTTTCAGAGTGTTACTACATCAATTGGTACTAAATTAGTGGGACAATCCTCCAAGAATCTGCCCCTATTTTGCTGTCATATACTAAGGAATAAGGATCAAAAATCATCTGTTGAATTATATTTAGTGAAACCTTCTGAAATAAATTGGCCTGCAAGGAATTAGAATAGTGAGAACTTTTTCTTTTCTTTCACCCCTTTTTCTAAACTGTTTGAATTAAACTTTATTCCACATGAGATATATTATTCTTGGTTAAGATGTCCCTTCATTTGACCCCTATATTGCTCTTTCTATCCAGCTACTGAGAAATAGTAGTGATAGTGCTAGAGCCAGGTTCTATCCCATCCTGGAGCTGTGGAATTATATTGGGTGATTTGGGCCAGAAACTCTCTCTCAGCCCAATTTACCTGCTATGGGGATAACATGGAGATTCTTGTAAAAGCTGCCTTGAATTTTTGCAGGAAAGGTAGGAGTTTACCTACACTGGTCATTTCATTAGCAGTTCAACAGGATATTTCCTTGGTCATTGAGAGGCTCAATATGACTAGATCAGGGAAGTGACAGGCTTTCATGGAAATTTTATTTAGGAAGGCCTTAAGTCTCATTCTCTAAAACAGGGAAAAAAGGTTCAGCAAACCTCTTAGTGAAAATGTATAAGCAATACCTTATGTTATCTCATGGCATGAGTATTTCAATTATTGTGTTTAAGCTGACCTTCCAGTCCAAACTTTGCAGCTGGAACAAGTAATCAGTTTGGAGATTGAGATTTGCTTATTCTCATATTGTCTTATACATAGTCATAGAACCATTGAGAACAATGCTCCTATGAATCGGGTGCCATAGTTGTATACAACATAGCATTCATTTCAAATCTTCAATTACTTGTTTTTTACCAGCTGTGGAATCAGATCATAACATTTGCTTCATGTGGTTGTGAGCTGCTTGAAGGTCATGAAAAGGAAACTACATATAGAATTGGAAGAAAAGAAATCCAATAAAGCACTCTGAAGCACTTAAAATGAAAAGTAAATGAAAAATAACAAATGAATTCTGAAACATTGTTTTAGAAAAGAAGCATAGAAGAAAAGAGCATTAGAAAAGAATAGAATAGAATAGAATAGAATAGAATAGAATAGAATAGAATAGAATAGAATAGAATAGAATAGAGCTGGAAGGTACCTTGGAGGTCTTCTAGTCCAACCTCTTGCTCAGGTAGGAAATCCTATATCATTTCAGACAAATGGTTATCCAATCTCTTCTTTAAAAGTTCCAGTGTTGGAGTATTCACAGTTTCTGGAGGCAAGTTGTTCCACTGATTAATTGTTCTGTCAGGAAATATTTTCTTAGTTCTAGGTTGCTTCTCTCCTTGATTAGTTTCCATCCATTGCTTCTTTTCCTGCCCTCAGTGCTGTAAATTCACACAGACTGCTATATTAGGTCCAATAGAATTCCATTAGATGAGCAATGCCAAAACATTTGACCTCGTCCCACATTATTAAATGGATGAATTTCCATACAACAGTAAGTCCTTCAAAGTTTTCACTGTGTCTGCTTTTATATCTGTGTGAATTACAAAGTCCATTTCATACACAACACTAGTTTACAAATGTTGTAAAATGTGATCGTGAAAGATAACAGACTTGTTCACCAAATAAACTTCTAATTACAGAGCACATATCTTTTTAG